GATACAGCAACCCATATGCTAATGTTGCTAGGGTTAGGCTAATGTTGCTACATCCAACTAAATACAAAAGGAAACAAGGGTATACTGAAATGTAAAGTCAGAGAACAACTGATATATTTAAACCAGGTGGGTTGCCACACCTCATTGTTGCTCTGGTGATCATTAGATACAGTACGTGTGTATTTTCGTTTCGCCTGGCAACAGCTTGTTTGACCTGACTTTGACATCTTCCTCTTTTAACAATCACTGACTCTCTCTGACTGTAAGGGTAACATGACATTAACACAGAGCGACGTGTGTAGGAGGTTTCATGCAGTTTTCATGAGAACACAGTAAAGTAACAAAAGAAAAGGGAAATATCTCTCAGTTTTTGTTCCTATAACAACAGACATTGAACATTGTTTGATAAGGCGGCTCACATTTACTTGAACGTAAAACTTTAACACTGAAATATACTACTACACAATGACACAGCTTACATTTTAAGACATGCAGGCTTGGCTTTAAATTCATAATTAGCAAGACATAAGAAAACATACAGAAACCGACTGTGTCAAATATACAACTGCAACTAACAATTACTTTCATAGTGGATTGACCTGCGTATTAGTCAAAAACTGTCGAAAAATTGCAATTCTTCCGACATCTTCAAATGTATGCGTTTTGTCAGACCAATGGTTTCAAATCTCAACATATTCAGTCTACTATCATACAAGAAAGAATATGCTGATTCATTTAACTGTCAAATTCACAGTTCTTTCAGCTCTAGTTGAAATATAAATACTTACACAATGTGACTCAGGTGCTCGTTGTTAGAAGAAAAAGGCTCCCAAACAAGCTAATTGTACAAGCTCAAGAGAAAAACTGGAGAAAAAAACACCATCGCATTGCAAATCCATAATCATGGGGTTTCCAGTTGGACCACACAGAGCAGCGGGGGTCGAAGGTCAAGGGTTTCTATGAAAGAGCTGACATGGAAGAGATTAAAGGGCGACCAGAAGGTACTAACCCTCCTCACCAGCCGATGGTGAATGTGCCAGGTCAGCCTCCATCTCAGGGCATTAGCTCTTTAATCTGTGGATGCTCGCACAGCATGGGATGTTTTCATGATATATTGAGTGTGACTGAGTTTGTGTGTGCGTGTGTGTGTGTGTGTGTGTGTGTGTGTGTATGTGTGTGTGTGTGTCAGTACTCTAGCAATCTAGAGCCGCAGGCAGGAGAAATTAGTAGTTTTATAACTATTACCCTTATCCTCCTATCATTGCTGCGGGACTGCCAACTGTCAGGGATAGCTAGTGAAACTGAGAGTGCGCGGGTCATTAACTGGGTCATTTGGAGCGATCGGAGTGCTTTTATCCAACATTACGGGTGTTTGTCGGAGCAGAAAAAACATTTATATAAAGACAGAATTTAGTTATGTGGGAGATTTTCTTCTGGGTGCAGTTTTTATTCTTAATTCATGGGAGGAATATCCAGAAGGAGGGCAGCCAAACTGTGAAATGTGGTTTAATTTGTACTTGAAGTACGGGCAGATATATCAAATCTCAGCCAAAGTCTTTAAAGCTGCGTTACAGTTAAGAGAAATCATTTTCCAAGCTTATTCAAGAGCCCGATGAAATCTACACTGGAAACAATTATTTGAATACCAAATACTTTTTTTAAATGTAAGGCATTAATGCATTGCAGTCGCTGATTTGATAGTAAACTACATTAATCCAGACTGTTGATTGGACAAAAAGTGATTTGGAGTCACAAATACCTCATGTTTAAGGATACCTTGATGGCCATTTTCTTTTCATTTTCAAATTGTTTAAAGACCAAAACATAAATCGGTCATTCAAAACAATATTCAGCAGATCACTAAATACAGGAAAATAACTAATTAGTTGCAGCATTTATAAAATAATGTTCTATGTATGGTCATTTGTGTTTTCTAAGGAGGTGCAGTCATTACTTTTTCATGCAGTGATAAGAGGCATTTGTTTTTGAATATTTTAGGCAGTCAATAACACCCAGTGTTATCTGATTATTTCATCTATTAAAAGGTTGTTCAACTGAATTTCCAGTAAATGTACCTTATCACAAGCAATATTTAGCAACACGGTGAATCACACATACTGTACTCCCACCCATGCTAATATCCTCCCTCAATTTTTTGGTGTCTTCCCTTCCCTTTACTTCCCAGATTAGGTGTATCAACACATTTTACCGCAACACATACAGTATGTCAGACACTTTAGTTATAAGGAAACTCCCTATGAACACAAATGTCCATTTACACATTAAGAAAAACTCTCTAAATGGTTATATTATCCTATATTTAAAAAAGGAAATTATCTATCTTTACAGCCATCTGACATATGACTCAATGTAAGAGCCATACCATTTTTACAACTTCATAGAGATACTACACAATTAAGTTCCCCCATTGACTTTTAAAGCCCTCGTTCGCCTGCAGATTATTGCTGTTGTTGTAAATAGACGGGGAAATGAAGACCGGCTGTTAAAAGCTTGTGTTTTCACCGGGAAGGTTGATTAAGATCTTGCACAAGAGGAAAGTCAATCTGATGTGCTGCTGTTTAACACCCAGCTCTTATCAGGGAGACTTTTAAATGGTTCACACATGCATGCACGCAATCACTCGTACGCATACAAAGACACAACTAGAAACTATGTCAGGACACTTGTAAGAATTAAATGAACCAATAAACCAAGAAGACAATAACCTGCTGTGTTCTGCTTTTGCCTCGAGGGACATTTAGTAAAGTACAGGACGTTTATTTCCTTGTTCTGTGTATATAAGAAGTTCATATATGGAGCAGGTCGATTGCATGTTTGTTCAGAGACAGTTGTCGCTTGTGGATGTGTCGTCACTGTAAGCAGAGACCGCAGATCAATACCCTTCACTGATAAACCAGACAATTACACAAAAACCCATTCAATTATTTTTTAATTACCAAATAAAATAAATGTTTCAGATTCACTGCTCTCCTTCTGCTCACAAGCACACTCATTACTTTGTAATGCTTTATTGCTTTCTCTCATTATCTAATTTTGGATAGTAGTAGATTAAATGACATTTTAAGGTTGTTCCAAATGAACGTTTTACACCTGAACCTTCCATAAAGATATTTGATTGGAGCTCAATATGTGGCGTCATACATCATCCTTAAAATAAATATGGAAACTCACGTTATTTGAATAAAGGGATTCATGAGATTGAATAACTTAATGTAGTTGTTTTGTTTTGTCTTATTTAATGAATATAACTTACAACAAGTCAGTGCGCAAGGCAAGCAGTAGAGCAAGCTTTTTTTTTAATGTAATGCTGAGTAAGGCGTCTGGAGTTCTCGGAAATGTTTCGATCAAAACTATCCTACCAACAACTTGGTATTTTACAATAATAACATAAGTGTAGCTTAATCCTTATCTGCATCTGTTCAGAGATACTGGGTTTCAACAGAATGAAATGAGATGCAAAAAGAAAGCGCAGCATTCGGATGTTGATTTAGAACTCGAGTGTGCACGTAATGAATGACGCTCGGAGGCTTTAAAACATTCAGTAAAGCCCTAATTAATGTCCCTGTTGCAACACTTTGTCAAGGAACACATTAGTGCCAAAGTGCAGCAGACTGCAGAGCAGTGAAGGTGAAGGAGCGTCAGCTGACGCAGCTTTGGCCCATGTGTTGGTCTGAGTGAGGTATTAGACTACGTCCACAGTAAGCTGTCTAAATCTGAAAACACTGCTTACGTGTGAAAATGATGTGCTGCCACTTCAGTGTTTCATTTTCATATTTACATTTTAGAGAGGAATCAGACGAGAACATCCTAGAATGTGCTTTAGTAACAATACCACTAAAAATGCAAATGCAGCTATAAGCTTGGATTTGTGTGTGTGTGTGTGTGTGTGTGTGTGTGTGTGTGTGTGTGTGTGTGTGTGGTCACTGGTCTAAGGGGCCTGAGGGAATCTTGTTGAAACTGGAGTCTATTATGCGACCATAGCTTAATCTGTATTCCTTTTGTTTAATCAGCTCCCACACCACCGATGAGCTTCTAATGAGGTGTTGAACACACAACACACACAACACACAACACACACACACACACACACACACACACACACACACACACACACACACACACACACACACACACACACACACACACACACACACACACACACACACACACACACACACACACACACACACACACACACACACACACACACACACACACACACACACACACACACACACACACACACACACACACACACACACACACACACACACACACACACACACACACACACAGTGGTCCCTTGAGAGGCTGATAACGTTAATTAACCGTCGTAACTCTCACCATGGGTGTTCGAGAGACGTCAACATGTGACAGAAGTCAAACCGTGTGTGTGCTCTGTGCTTACTACAGTTTAAAAAAAAACGTCCTAACACACTCCGAAGCTGTCAGGAATCTGTCAATACAGCTTTCCGATAACATGGACCTTTCACAGCAGCGAGCTCAAAGGAGGAAGCCTTGAACTCCTACTGACTAGCTGGTAGCATCGGAGGAAATGCTTTTAGGAGATTTTATAGCTTCCATTTTTCTTCTAGATTCAATCAGTAGACACTGACTTATTGAATCAAGCTGAGAATAGACTGGAAACCCTACGTTAAAGTAGAGTGGTTGGTTGTGAAAATGATACACACCTTGATAGAGGCATCGAATGACTGCTTCTGTGCTTTATGGACATTTGTTTTCATTAGAGTCACCCCGCTCGCTCTGCTGTGAGGACCCGGACGCCTCATCAATAACTCTGAGTAACGGCCCGGGCTAAAGTGTGCTTTGATCACACAGATTTGAAATATTGTTTCATAGGCCGCACCCTGCTGTTTTTCATGTGTGTCATACGCTGGTAGAGATGTAAGCGATTGACCGTATATCATCCATTTTTCTTTAAACACAGATACACACAGTTACAGGTTTGTGGTACTTACTAGTATAGCACTTCATTGGCCTCATGTCTCTCATAGCGCACCGTCTCACACATTATCCTGCAGGGACAGAGAAGAAGGAGGGGTGGTCAGAAAACAATAGGAGGGGAAATTAAATATGGTTGGTTGGTTTGCAATGTCACAAAAAATAAATAATTGAGATGAATAGACCCAGACATGACTTCAACAAGTAATAAATGCCATCGTTGAGAATTGCAGTCACATGAGTTAGACTAAGGTCAGACAAAAAATACTTGCACTTGACTTTAAAGAGGACATATTGTGCTAGTTTTAAGGTTGTATTAGTATGTATGCCTCCACTATGACATGTTCACATGCTTTAATGTTCAAACATTTTTCTCATACTGCCTGTGCTGCAGCACCCCAGTCTGCTCTGATTGGTTAGCTGGCCGGCTCTATTGTGATTGGTCCACCGCTTAGAGATGTCCCGCCCCTTAGTTTATCAATGCATTAAAGTGTTACCCGATAGAAGCGTGAGTTTTACATAGTGATGTCACAGAAGCAAAGAAATAAGGAGTATTTTATGCAAATATGGCATTACATTTTTCTAGATGTTTGTCATGGAAAGGCAACGTTTCTTTGCATTTGTGAGAATTATCCTTTAAACATGCTTTCAGTTTGGGTCAGAGAGTCATCTATTACATTTTTTTTTGCCCGTTTGATTTATTGTGTTTGTTTGTATTGGTGTTGTTGGCTATCATTTGTCTTTTTTTTAATCAATCATTTTAATTGTTTTTATGCAGCAGTGATGAAAGGTGAAGAGAGTTACTCATCCACTGACAGATTTTGAAGGTATGTTTTTGAATTTTAACAATTAGCTTACAAGACTTGTTTATGCATCTGCTCCCAGAAAGTAAACAAGTGCCATTTATCCCGGTCAGATAGACATACTTTGTGATAAGCTTTCTCTTCCTTAATTAGGCAAAAACTCTCTTTGTGCTTATGCTCTCATTTGTGAAATGCTTTGTTTTCCTTAGGAACAGGATGGATCGAAAGTAATCATAATTTAAAAGTAATATCATTATGCAAACAAGGATTTAACTATGTTTTATGACTATTATTTTAGGGTAAACCATTGTTAAGATGTTTCTAATGACAGATGTCTGATGTGCAAAGCCATTTCTCCTCCCTACATACAAAGTAATCCTCATCAGGCTATCCCAGTGAAACAAGTCAACTTTACAGACAGGCATACAGTAAACAGTAGCTGATTAAAAACACGGAAGGCTTTAAAAACAGCTGGGGGGTGGCCGTCATGTTGCAGCCCCCACCAGTGCACGTCGACGACAGAAAAAGAACAACAATCCCAGCTCTAAAAAACAAGTCGCTGAGAAAAAAGGACTGCAGCGGAAAAACAAGACATTCCTCCCAGACAAAATGTGGAAGAAAAAAGAACTAACATAATCCCATAGTTAGTGGGATCATAGCTGGCTGGGAATTGTATTGTTTTTTTTGTTTGGACAAGCAGAGTTGGCGGGAGTGGAGGATTGGTGTGTGGGACCATGGGGACATTCCTCAGGACCCAGAGGGGGGGGTGATGGGTTTCTGTAGGGTGGGAGGCCTGCGAGGGGTCACACAGAGGAATGTTCCAGCTCGCGGGTCATGTACCGCTACATTGTTCCGTCGCCAGTATAATCCACATGTATGCACACAAGGCATGGAACAGACTTCTGACATACAGTGTTTGGAAAGTCTGCGCCAGACAGAAAAGACCAGAAGGCCGGTGTGGTGACCGGAGAGCAGGGCGGTGTGTTTGGAGGGCAGAGCGGTGTTCACATCAGGGTAGTTTGAGTCAAATGTGAGGTTTTTATGTAAAGACACAAAAGTCCCTTTAGTCTTAATCCAAAAAATCTGTTTCGATAGAGATAGAATCTCAATATGTACCTCAACTTGCCTTTTACTGTCAGAAAGAAAGTCCTGATTGAGATGAACTTCTAACAGAAAGTAAAGAAAAAAAGCAAGAGCTATAACTAGAGCTGAAATGAAATCAAAGATTCAAAGGCTTGATTGTCATATGCACAATAGCTGCAGAATAGTTATTATATAATATAATAATAATAATCAACATCGATCTTATTCGCTGCTTTTGGTGTATTTTGTGGCAGAAGTACAGCGCCACTTACAGGCCCGGCATATGTATGTACTACTGCGTCTCCAGCGTTTGAGCGTTTTCGTGTGGACGGATACGTTTCTTGAGCCGTTTCTGTGTGGACGCACGGAAGACTTTTTTGAAAGAGACTAAGGTTTGTTTTCGTCTCCGTGTGGACGGGGCCATAGAGGGAAGACAATCGCTGTGTTTTCACACCTCAACAGCTCCTTTTGGTGTTAAATTGGTGTTAAATTTATTTAGTTTTACATATCATGGTAATGTATCCACACCTACATAAACCACAGACCTTGTCACTTTGTTATCCAGAAAATATATGGGCCTTACAAGCACAAACATAGTGGACTTTAACATTAATCATGCTTAAAGCGCACCCATCATGCTATTTTTAGGCAATAGCATAGGTCTCAGATATATTAAAATATATAAAAAACATGTCTATGAAGTGTTTTGCTCAAAATACCAAACAGATCACCCATTCTAGCCATGCCTCGTATCCCTCTATTTCACTTCCCGTTTCAAAAGTGCTGATTTTGGGTATAAAGCTTTAAAAAAGAAAAAATTGATAAAAAAAATACTGTCTAAACTAAATGCTGCCGTGATGAAACGCCATATCATGGATTATCAAGGATTATCTCTGAAACAGTATGGAGCTCAAAGGCTTTCTCTCTTGCCGGTTATACCACAAGGTGAGTTCCTTTTCATTTCCTGCTTCTTCACATACATGCTCTCCAGTACAGGTTAGCTCTGAGTGTTAGCGATGCTAATGTAAACACCGACCATATTACGTCCAAAACAGTCGGGCATTGTTTCTAATAGCCACTTTCTGATAGTGCCGTGGGTCCACATTTCCGATATTACGTCATATCGGACGCAAATCTGGATCAGCTCCGCTGTACCCCCGTATTTGGGTACAGAGGAAAAGAGAGAGGGTTTTATTTTCTGACGCTGCGTGAGTTCCCCGACACACCGGGGACACATGTTTATGTATAAAAGACATACAAAAGTGCATTTTGCATGAGAGGTCCCCTTTAAAATATATTTTTAGTGATCAGGAAGATATACTTTTATGTGCGCTAGTCACAGTAACAGCTGGTTCTTTATATTGTATGTCTTTTTAGCAGCATAATTGCTTTTCAGAGAGTGAAATTATTCCAGCCAACGAGTGGCTGCTGGATTAGAAAAGCAGACGACGTTTAGCAGCTCTTGGCTGGCGGCTCCCTGTTAATGCTGCACCCCTGACTACAACCGTTATGGAGCAGACACTGAGGAGTTGTCAGTGATTTAATTTGCATTTGAATTGAATGTGATTAGAATATCAAGCTCTCAATTATGGTTATTAGGTTCCGGTAATGTGTGCAGACACGAACCTCAGCTGGTGCTCCCGCAGGTTGGACAAGGCCTCCATCCCGTGGAGATACGAGTAGACGATCTCCAGGTCCTGAGGAACAGAGGAGAGCTGTTGTTAGACACAGAGGCTTAGAGATAAAGCTTTAAAGCCTCTACAATCAATACTTATATCCGCATTGTATGAAACGACAATGACTTTGTGTGAAACTGCTTCGATAAAACGTCCGAACAATACCAGCTCAGCAACAAAGACAGGGCTAGCAAATACCTGATGAGCATATTGGAAAATGTACCTGCTGAAAAGCAAGATATCTGATTGTAAATAGGCCACTGTTACTGCCACCATTTCCGTGTTAGAAGGTGATCATTATTACAATGTTATGTTTACAACTGGTTGGAAGGAAAACCACGTAGACAAAAGATCAGATTAAGACTTCACTTTTTTGCTGCAACAAAAACACTGTACTTTATATGTCGTAGCTGCTACATTGTACTGCCTTGTGGTAAATGCTTGTATGCTGCTCATGGTCTTTCTGTATATCATGTATTTCTGTTTGCCATGTATATAAATGTTCTGTTCATAAATGTTGTATGTGACGGGACTACGGATGGAAATTAGCTCAAAGTTAAAATCCGGCTCATTTACATTTCAAAGCATTATTTTGTTTAAAATGTTCATTAATGTGCATTGTCCCGGTTCAAATAAACGATTAAATGAAATGGAAATTATTATGTGGTTGCACTGGTTCTTAAAACGCTATTCATTGTGCAGTGGATACACTGGCCACTCACAGGACAGAAACCCATTCACAGACAGTGACGTTGATTTGTGCGACGGAGCATTGGATTAAAAGCAATAAAGCACCTCACAGAAAAAATAAAGGAAGTACACTGCACAACTAACCCCCCCCTTTCAATTACTCCATCAAATGACCCAGTGAGCGACTCTCAGATTGTTTGGCGTGAATCCAAGTCAGAGGTGAAACAAAGTGGCCCTCTCTGAGAGCTGGCAGCCAGTACAGCAACTTCACTGTGTGTGTGCACACTGGGGCACTGAATGTGTGTGTGTGTGTGTGTGTGTGTGTGTGTGTGTGTGTGTGTGTGTGTGTGTGTGTGTGTGTGTGTGTGTGTGTGTGTGTGTGTGTGTGTGTGTGTGTGTGTGTGTGTGTGTGTGTGTGTGTGTTGTGTGTGTGTTGTGTGTCTACTGGGATGTATTTGGAGGTAGATGTGGCGAGAGCACAGCGGACAGGTAACAGAGACTCTGTGTTAAAATCCCCGCCAGACACACACACAGACACACACATGAAACCACACAAAATGCCCACCCTGTGTCTGGGTTATGTTTCTAATGGAAGCAAACACAAACTAATTGAAAATTGTATTCAACTGTTGACCACAAAAGCTGAATAACGCTTTGTGTCTGCTGGTTTGGTGTCATATTAAAAGGAGACATTAATAAAACCACACCAGCGCTAAAAGCCTCAGTATTGTTCGTTTAGGCTGATTTAAAAAATGAACAATTAAAGAATGTCAATGAAATCTTGTTTTAGTCTCAAAATAATCCGTGATTCTGATGCAATATCGTATGCAATAAGACCATTTCTTATAAAACACAAATAGCATACTGAGTCTGGTTAGTTTAATATGTTTTAAAGTGTATCTTAGCATATCACACCCTACAAAGAAAGCATGAAAATCCGTGTAAATCTAATAATCAACCATCATGTGAGACATTACTACTATTTAACATCCTAATGACGCTACACGACTGACTCATGGTCCCTTGACGTCAGCACAAACTCTTCTAGTTATTTGGGTTTGGCCTTTATGGAGCGTACACAGAGAGAAAGGGTCCTCAGGGCCGCCTGGACGTTACATCACAGCGATATTCTCACTAACCATATCCTTATGTTCAGTGTCTGTGGTCAGAAACAGGAGCAGAGGAAATGTTCAGACTCATACTGCCACCTGCTGGGAGACCAGGAACTGCAGCCTGGGTTTACTGGGTTCATTTTGGATAAATGGCTCAGCACAATGAACACTCATGAGACACATTCCTGCTCAACTGCAAGTGGCAATTAAAAGGACAAATCAATTTATAAAAGGTTCAAAAGTATATGCAAACTATAGGAAAGTGAGCAATTACTCAATTATCAAGCTGGTGTTTCAGGTTTATAGTACAGTTTATTAACTTTATGCAGGGGTAGAGATGAAGCATTTTGATCACACTTACTTTATAGTCAGATAATCAACTGGCGACTATGTTGGTATTTATTACTTAGTCATATTTTAAAGCAAAAGTGAAAACAAGCAATTTAAAAGGCATCCAATTGGGATTTTGTGTCCATTATGATGAGCTTTATTTTTGCTATTTTCATATATATTTTAAATCACATGTATTAATTAGTGAGGAATACAATTGGCAAGTATATTCACAATTAATTTAACAGTGGAGACCCTCATTTACAAGCTTTTTTTGGCTGCTACAAACTCTGTCGAAATGGTAATTTATTTGTATCTTAAGGAAGTCATAGAACACTATAATAAAAGTAAACTCACTCTCCCTAAATCTAACCTAGAGCCTAATATGCAACTGTAAAGAAAACAGCACACATACATGAAGTAAAGTATACGGTGTGATACAAAGTGATTAATTTTTGAAATCCAGATCAACTTTCACTAGATGGAAGAAATTCCCTCCTTAAAGGTAGGGTAGGTAATTCACTTCAGAAATACTTGTTATATTCCATGGAATGGCCTACCAGTACCTGCCTGTCAGCCTTCCATCTCGTGCACAAACTTATCTCGTGCCCTCATTGGTCATGTGATCAAGGAAGTCTGAAGGAAGGGGCAGATTTGTTTCGGCTGCGTACTTTCAAATTGTAGCGCACTCGAGCTGGTTTCTCCATTCTTACTACCCTACCTAGCAGCAGGCATATAACAATGCAGACAGAAGGTCACCACTAGATGGCAGTGTTGCAGGTTTATTTTTTCCCTTTCCACAGTGACATCACTGTGAATAAAACAGCGCCACTCAAAAGCTGCCTCACAGGGAGAAAAGTATGCGAAACCATCAATTGTGGCTTCAGTCTCAAATATTTCAGATTGACTGTATGGAAAGAATGCAAAGGACCCCATCTTTTCCACTCCCGGGGCCAAGCATGTTCCCGTCTCATTTTCTTTCTTTTTCTCTTTCTGGCCTCTTTAAAGACGGAGCCAAACACAATCACCACAAAGTACACAGAGAGAGAACACAGGACTGTTTTAGGACATGGAACGGATTTTCAAATAACAACAAAATCGTCACAATTTAACTGAAAATTCAGCTTTTCTTTACTGGAATCTTTTTTTAAATTTATTCCAAAATAAAAATGTACACTTATACTATTTATTTTGTTGTTATAGTGTATGGTGGAAAGGAGCAGGGAGAAGAAAATCTTATTTTACCTGCCCCTTCAAAAAACTAAATTAAATAACCATAAAAAAGTCAAATAAAAGCAATATTCTTTACAAATACTCTTATTTCAAGTCACTTAAAAAAACAAGTCCTTATATGGACATCAACTCGCATCATCTCACAGCTGATTGTCATGTTTTTCCCTCTTAGTAGAGAGATCAAAAGCAGAGGGTCAATGCTTTCAACATCACTGCCTGCTCCATGTTCATTCACATCTTTCGCTGAGAGCGGTACCAACAGCTTCCCATAGAACACAAACAGGAAGTGAAGCGGGGAGCTGAAACTAGGACATGCTGATGAAGGCTGAAATTGTGCTCATTGTGTGTGTGTGCTGAATAAAGACAAAGCTTGTTCATTTTTTAAAACACTGCTCGCTTTAGGGGGGGGGGGGGGGTAGCTCAAAATCCCAGGCTAAACCAGTAACACCATCTAATCCGTCCTCCATCTTTCTCCAAACTAATCCTTCCAGGAACACAGGTGGCCCCCTCTGATGGAAAAACATACCGAGATGCTGCTCTTGATAAAACCATGTGGACACTTCAAAGCTGTTTGTGCAAAACTGTGAAAGACATTCCTCGCATACCACTTACATACTGTCAACCGTCTTTGTAAGTTTCCCGGGTTATTTCCTCGATGCAACACAACATGTCATCGCTTTACACGTGTACTCGGGACACAGATGGTAGCAGTGCAATGCAGCCAAACAAATGAAGGCATTTCCTCTCCAGTATACAAATGAAAAAGCAGACCCTGTCTTCTTCTGTTCGGGGCACGAAAACACAACAGACGTACTCCCTTTTCCAACCATTATGTTAGGGCCCCCGGAGGGAGAGGGAGCCGTGTTGGGCCCACTGCCAGTCTGTAGAGTGGCAAAGCATTCAGTGGGTAAAGAAAGGTCAAGGAAGTTGTAAAGTTTTCCTGTAAGTTGTTTATTGAGGCTTTTGAGAAAACAGAAGAGCCTCTGGTTTCAGTGTAAACATATTCAGTTTCACACAGAGAAAAGGAAAGATAAGTGAGCCAAAATGATACAAAAATAAACGAATGAACATTGACACAGAGTCTCTTTAAGAATTACAATATGTTCAACACTGTGCATGGCACCAACGATGCTAATGCTTAGGATTAGCTTGGGGTAGGGGCTGCAACTAACTTATTGTTTTCATAATCAAGTCATTTGCCGATTATTTTCTTGATAAGTCCGTTAAGCGGTTAATATATGAAATGGGAAAACATTGCAATCACAATTCCTAATAAGCTAATTCGATGTTTTCAATTAGCTGTTATCTGACCTATGTTATTAACCTTTAAATACTTGATATATTCCCATATATGACAAAGAGAAACAGCAAATAGAAGTGTTTGAGAAGCTGGAACGTATACATTGATTCATATATAATAAAATCAGCTGCCAGATATCTTTGAGTTAACCCTTGTGTTGTGTTCGAAAGCTGTTACCGTCCATGGTGTTCGCGGGTCAATTTTGACCCATGATTTATCTCAGTCCAAAACACTCAAAAAGAATGACCATCATCCAATATAGTTTTAACTACATCATAACTAACTTATTATGCATTCATAACCGTACAATCCTGTTTTTATTTGTATTTTATGGCCCCAAAACACATCACATATTT